GTTTGCTCACCTTCTGGGGGTACTTCGCAGATTCCTTTTTTGGCGCGCCGCCCCCGGGGGCGACTTCTGGGAAAGGCTCGGGCAAGCGTGTGCTGATGTTTCAAGGAACCGCGCCCCCAAAGTAGGTCGGAAAGTAGGTTTGCAGAATTTGTTTTTGCAAAGTAGGTTCCAAAGAAGGTTTCCGGATTCCAAAAGTAGGTTTTCGGTAGCGCAAAGTAGGTTTCGGAGGCTTCAAAATAGGTTTTAGGAGCCTCAAAGTAGGTTTCGGAGGCCTCAAAGTAGGTTTCAAACCTACTTCAAACCTACTTCAAACCTACTTCAAACCTACTTCAAACCTACTTCAAACCTACTTCAAACCTACTTCGAACCTACTTCAAACCTACTTCAAACCTATTTCAAACCTACTTCAAACTGTTTTCGGAAGCATGGAAGGTCAGGGATTGAAGGTAGGAGGAGGAGGAGGTGGAGGAGAATGTGGGGGAGGAGGAGGAGGAGGAAGAGGAATGGGAGAGGAGGAGGAGGAGGAGGTGGATGAGGAGAGCCGGGAGGAGGATGTGGAGGAGGAAGAAGAGGAGGAGGAGGAGGAGAGCCAGGTCGAGGAAACGGAGGGCCAGGAGGAAGGAGGAACAGGAGAGAGGAGTAGGAGGAGGAGGACCAAGAGGACCCGGAGGATCGGGCGGAGGATGAGGGGCGGATGAAGGGGGGATGAGGGGGAAAAGGTAGGAACAAGATGGGGAATATGAGGGGGAGGAGGAGGAGGGGGGGGAGGAGGAGGAGGAGGAGGAGGAGGGGGGGGCGGGGAGGGCGGGGAGGATCGGGGGCAGGAGGATGAGAACGTGGATGCTGCGGCTGACGAGGGGGAGGATGGTGAGGCAAGGGGGGCGATGATGGGAAGCATGATGTGATTGATAACGAGTGGCTTTGGGGAGGGCAGAATGACCTTGGGCGGGGCGGCCGTGATAATGAGGAGGAGCCATGGCGTGTCCGAACCCCGCCGGGGCACGGTATTGGTACGGGGTGATTGTTGGTGGCGGCCCGGCTTGTCCGGGATTCCTTGAGTTGCGTTGTTCGCCGTGCCAGTTGCCGGGGCTGCTCCAATTGATTTTTGGGTCGCCCATCGTCGTGACTGCTTTTCTGGCGGGTCGTGTTTTCGGAGGTCTTCTCCGCAGCCGCTCTCGTTAATTTTCTATGTTTAGTGCCCGAGGGTGCATCGCGCGAAACGTGTCGCGGCCCCTGCCTGAAATGCAGCCCTGACGCCGTTTTTCATTGCAAACCTTCTTGGCGAGGTTACCGCGGCCAGGGAACGTCCCCGGGTGCACTCGCCAGGGCTAGTTTGGCGAATTCGCTTCGCCAACTTAGCTGCCCGCGGCATTTGCGCCGACGCGCTTTGGCAAACCCAGTAACGGGAGGCTATCTGCCCGATGACACGTTTTCCCCGCGCGTTGCACCTTCTTCCTGGGACCTACTATGCTTGCGAACCTATCTCCCGAACCTACTTTTGAACCTATCTAAAACCTATATCGAAATGTTTTCTGTTCGCCATTGCCCTGCATTGCTGGGGAAGTCTCGGGCCTTCATGTACCAGCATCGCCTTTCCCTGCGTGCAGGTCCTGCGGTACAGCTGTTGCGTGCCTGTCGTCACCTCGACATCGCCTGGGTGTCGGCTACTTCGTTTTCCTGCAATGGACGTGTATTTCGTTTCAGCCTGAGGCCTGATCTTCTTGCTCAGGCTCACCGCTCTACAGCTCGCACCCTCAGCCGTGCGGCGAAGGTAAAGAAGCACCTCCACGACTTGCGTGCATTCTTACGGTATGTTGTGGCTCGTGGAGAGGCCCTGCGACGGCCTAAGGACTTTGCTGGACTTGAATGTGGGCTTTGTGAGCAAGCTGATGTCCGCCTTCACCATCATAGTATGACCCTGTACTTTGGTGGGCCTGCTCTGCTGTCGGCGGGCCTGTGGACATCGCCGGCTATCTCACGGATCCCACTCAGTGACTCTGATGGCTTCTGCCCGAGATGCGGCTCGGAAGTCGAGACGACCATGCGCAGATTGTGGGATTGCCCTCACAATGCAGCTGAACGTGCTCACCTTGATGGTATGGTTCCTGGTAACATGTTCCCTGTGCAACTACCTGCCTGTCTTGCTCGATGCGGCCTTGAGCCTGAGCACCTACCTGACAATGTCTCACTGGCTGATGCTGTTGCTGTTTCACAATACCTCTTACGTGTGAATGCAATTGCTACACAAGCTTTGGCTGACCGACGTGCAGGGCGCCCAGTATCCTTGCCCCTGGATGTCCCCCGCTCGCAGCCCGCTTCTGATCTTTATCGTCATGCTCTTCCACCGCTGCCTCGGCCGCGAGTTCAGCATGTTCCTCGTCCTGGGCTTGCTCCTCGGCGTGATGAGCTTCCCCAGCAGCCAGGCCCTGGAGTATTCCGTGCGCCTGCTCAGATCACATTATCCTCGGACGGCTCCTTCCAAAGCGACGTGCACGATGTCGCGTCGGGCTGGGGCTTTTGTATTGCATGTGAAGGATGGCCTGCTCTACTCGACTTTTGTGGGCCGTCGATTCTATCTCAGCAAGTTCCTGGGTTTGTGGGTGCCTCGCACCATTCCAACAACGCGGGGGAACTTGCTGACATCTATTTTGCACTCTGCTGGATCTATGATTTTGAGCGTGCTCGTGCTCCAGCTGGTGGCTTATCAGTTGTACTTGAATATGACTCTGAGTATGCTGTTGATGTGATTCGCCGCCGAGCGCGGCCACGTCGTAATCTCACCCTGGTCTTGAGATCTCGGCGAATCCTTGATCGTGTTCATTCGATTGTTGTCTGGAAGAAGATCAACTCTCATACTGGGCAATTTCAGAATGAGCGTGCTGACCAGCTTGCTGCTTGTGGAGCTGCTGGTAGTACTGTGCAGGAGGCCGCCGTGGCACGGTGGGCCGCTCTGTCTACTTGATTTTTGTTTTCGAGATCAGGCAGCCCCTGATCATTTCCAACCGCGCCTTCATGAATTCGAGGGTGTCCTGGGGCGTCGGCTCGGGGGGGGCACCCGTCGCCCGCTGGGGGTCCTGCGGAACGAGGGCCGTCGTCGCGCGCAACTGCTCCAGTAGATTCTTGACGATGTCGACTTTATTCAGAATTTGGCGGCCGAGGCGGAAGTGGTCGTCACATAGCGCGTCCACCTGGTCGCTGATCGCGGTGAACTGGGCGGTGGCCCCGGAGAGGGACGCTTCCTCCTCGGCGATGTCGGCCTTGCGCTTCTCCGCCCTGCTGCAGCGGAGCGAGGCGGAGGAAGTCCTCACGACGGAGGGCCTCAAGCTTCTCTTGGGCTGCGAGGAGCATGGGCTGGGCTCCCTGCGGTCCGCGCTCGAGATGGCACCCCCCAAAAAGCAACCTCCGCCTGGGCCAGCCGCGGAGCCTCGAGCCTGGGGCCTGGCGGCCCCCACGACCCGCCTGCGGTCCCCTGGGGACGAGGCGCCGGCAGGAACGCCACCTCGCACGGGCCCCTTGGCACGGCGAGGCCAGAGCCGGAGGCTCGGAGCTTCAGTATCGCTCAGCCGATCCCCATCCCAATCCCCATCCCCACCCCCTTCGAGACCCCCACCAAATTACCACCCCAGTTGGGGGTACACCCCTCGAAGCCCGAAGGGAACGACCCACCTCCCCATCTAAGGGGGTGAACCGGCCAGTGGGGCCCAGGCCACGCCGCTGGGGATGGGGATCGGTGAAACGACACTCATTGGCACGGCGAGGCCAGAGCCGGAGGCTCGGAGCCATGGGTGGGACGGCAACGTCGTCCCTCTCTGCCCTGATCGCCGGAGGTGGCGGCGGCGGAGGCTGCCCGCAGGTGCCAGGGGCAGGTCCGCCGGCGCCGGCGACACTGCTGCTGCGGCTTGTCCAGGGCGCGCCGCACAGGGAGCCGCGGCTGCACATGAGCGAGGTGGACGACCCTGTGAGCCGGCCAGTGCACCCAAAGGCTCGGCAGAATCCGCTTGCGCGCGCGGGGGTTGCGGGCCCTGTGGCGTCTGGCCCGCCCTTGCCCTTGGCTTCCTTGCCCATGGCCCCTCGTCCTTGGTCCCTTTGCCATGGCCAGCGCTGAACATGGCTTGCGTGTGGAGTGTCGAAGCTGGGGCTTCCGTTCCCTGAGCCGTCGTATGGCGACTCGCGGCACCGACGGTCTGAGATGCTGCCGCCGGATGGCTGGCCAGTGTCACGGGTCACGGGATGGCGATCGACAGGTCGGCACGGATGCTGGGGGACGAGGTGAGAAGCAAGAGACGAGGAGCGAGACGCACGATGCTGGTGACAGGATGCATGCTTCGGAAGACCATGCAGCGCGCGCAGGGTAGGCACAATGTGCTGCGGGGATCGATAGGAAAGAAAAATTGGAAAGCAAAAGAAGGAGAGGCGGAGAGAAGAGAAACAAGAAAAGAAGAGGGCGACCAGAAGCCAAAGAAGAGGGGAGGAAAAGACAGAGAAGGACGGGAGGAAAGCAGCGCAAGAAGCAAGACGCGAGAGGCAAGACATGGCCAGATGAACGGGGGCGGCTGGGCATGGTAGGACACTCGACGCGGCCTCGGCGGACTTGACGACCTTCGAGGTAAGGCCTCCAGAAAATTGCCTCGCCTGGCTGTGCCCTGGATGGACCTCGGGAGCCGGTGTCACCCCGGCTTCCGGGGGAAAATTGTGCAATTGCTCGTCGGGCGTGCGCTATGGGCCATCGGCATGGGGAGGAGGAGGAGGAGGAGGAGGAGGAGGAGGAGGAGGAGGAGGAGGAGGAGGAGGAAGAGGAGGAGGAGGGCGGAGGATGAAACTTTGAGGAGGAGGAGGTGGAGGAGGAGAAGGAGGAGAAGGAAGAGGAGGAGGAGGAGGAGGAGGAGGAGGAAAAGGAGGAGGAGGAGGAGGAGGAGGGCGGATGAGGAGGAGGGCGGATGAGGGGAAGGAGGAGGCGGAGGGAGGAGAAGCAGGAAAAGGAGGAGGAGGAGGAGGAGAAGAGGACCAGTGATGCGTGGAGGCCCGGGGCGAGCTCGCGGGCGTCGGCGACGGCGCGCTCGCGGATGGAGTGGCTCTCCGGGCGGTCGCGCGAGTCCAGGTGGGGGGAGGGCTTCAGGCCATACTCGGGTGCTGCTAGACGTGCTCTTGTCCCAAGGTGCCCCTAGGATGTCCAGGGAGGCCCACACGGGCTCCAGCCTCCTGCCATTGCTCCTCCTCCCTCCTCCTCCTCCTCCTCCTCCTCCTCCCCTCCTCCTCCTCCTCCTCCTCCTCCTCCTCCTCCTCCTCCTGCTCCTCTTTCGACGCTGCTGCTGTTTTTTCTTGAAGCCCCACCTCCCCTCCCTCTCTTCCCCTCTCCCTCGTTTTTGGGACGTGTGTGAGCTCACGAGGCCCAGGGGGCCCCAGGGGCCCCAAACCAGAGCGAAAAGATGGGGGCACCTCGGGACACGGGTACCTTCAGCAATCCCCGACATACGCCTGGCGTAGCCCCGCCCGGGTCAGACTGCTGCCGCGCCCCGCAGTTGTTGCAGGGGAGGCGGTGATGATGGGCCAATTTCCCACCACCACAGCCATGGGTAGAAAAGGTGGAGAAGGAAGGATGGCGAGGTCCTCCTCCTCCTCCTCCTCCTCCTCCTCCTCCTCCTCCTCCTCCTCCTCCTCCTCCTCCTCCTCCTCTCCTACCTGTGGTAGCAGCTGTGAGAACTTGGTCCATCAGGTGAGGGTGGCGCAGCGGGCTCCGCCGAGGCCGGAGCGGCGCAGGGCGCCCCAGAGGCAGTGGTCGGTGCCCTTCTGGTCCGTGGTGACGGGCAGCGTGCTCACGGCTGTGGTCTTCGCCGTGGCCGGCACCTTCGTGCCCATGGACTATCCTTAAGTGGGGCCCGTCCCTCTGCAGGAGGAATCTTAAAAAAGAGTCCAAACATCGTCTGGGGACTATGTTTTGAGCATTTGTTGGCTGTTTGGGGGCATTGTTTGAGTATTTTTGTATTTTTCGTCGAAAATCCCCCTGTAGGGGGACACGCCCGACTTAAGACTATTTCTCCACTCGCTTGCGAGACGACACTGCAGACTCCTGTTCCATTGCGGTTGCTAGGGGCAACGGGCTCCTGGCAGACCTGGTCTACAACGATCTGACCAGCACATCCTACGTGAGCCTCCTGCACGCCATCGAGCTCAACATCATGGGCTTTGTCATGGAGCCAGCCTACTCTGCCGTGGGCTCGCTTGGAGGTTCGGTCGCCATTCAGAACATGTTCGAGAACGGCTGGACTGGGAACAGGGACTTCGACGAGCGAGTGCAGCTGAGCCGCTTTGCGTGGGCCAGCCTGGAGCCCCAGTGGCTCGACACTTTGGGCACCCGCAATGCTGAATTCGACAGCCAGGTGAACAATTGGCGCAGGGCTCGCACGACCAACCTGAAGATCGGATTCGCGTCAGGGCAGTGGATCGGCATGACTTTTGAGAGCGACAGATCTGATTATTGCAGTGACAAGAGCTGCACCGCACAATGCTGGCGATACCACATGGAGTCCAACGGGTCTACGGTCGAGACTGTCAAGGTGACATTGGGCAGCACGGCGCCGTTTGACTGCCGTGAACAGTGTCAGTCCCACACGGGCTGCAATTATTGGACTCTGATCACGTTGACCGGAGACTGCATCCTGAAGAGCGATGTAGGAGAGCTCAAATACCGGAATGACGCCATCTCTGGAATCCCCAATTGCGTCCCGGATCTCTCAGAAACTGTAAATTCTTTCGGGCACGTGGCAGACGGAACTCACATGTCTTTCTGGCCAATTTACGACTTCAAGACGGGAGCCCCCGGACCGATGACGACCATAACCACCCCGGAGGCGAACACGACGAAGGAACCTTGGTACTTGCCGCAGGCACAGCTCGCAAAGCAGGGGCGGCCTCTGACGGGTGCGTGGTCGAACATTCACGTTCATAATGACAACGTCGCGATCGCCTGGACTATCCCCGTCGCGTACTGCGGGGACTACTCGTGCCTGGACGGCGTCATCGCCACCACCATCGGCCTGGCCGGTGTGAGCTACGACGCGTTCGGCCTCTGGCTGGCTTTCCGGGATCGGCTGTCGCGGCCCCCCTACGAGTTCCCCATCGGGTCCGACAACTCCAGCATGTTCATCGTCTCCCGGAAGGCCCGCTCGCCCGGCCAGGAGGGCCTGCTCGTCGGGTGCTCGGACGGGTGTCCTGGCGTCCCAGGCGCCGACGACATCCGCGACATGCTCCATATCGACGGGCAGCTCCCCTACGCCGCCAACTTCTCGAACCCCGCGGTCACCGCGACGTCCCGGGCGATCCTGCAGCGCTTCGGCACGTGGAGCAACAGGTCGGCGCCGGGCCCTTCGGGGGGGGAAGAAGCGCGAGGTTGGCGGGCCTTCACCCCGGCATCGCTCGGGCGGGCGCAGTTTTGTCCCGCAAGGGCCCTCGAGTCGCCGAGCGCGCTCCACTACTCGCAGAGTGCCTCCTCGCAAGAGTCCGACACAAGAACACATGTCTGCTCTGCTGTCATGTATCGCAGGTCCCCCCGCGGGGGATCCGGGCCATTTGCGAGTAGGTACTTTGCGAGCAGTGGATCGCGCTCGTCGATCGAGGAGCATGCGGGAGCACTCTGCGAAGACGCGCGCGCACGGGATCGCACAGGGCGCGGTGCGTGGGCGCCCGAGCGGTGGCAGGTCGCCGAAGCCTCGGGCGGGCCTTCCCCAGCAGGCGCGAGGGCTGCTGAGAGGCCCTCGCGCCTCCTGGGAAGGCCTGCCCCCTCTCATTTCCCCCCTGGACCTCGGTCGGCGTCATCCCAACATACTAATGTCGACTAGACGTAAGAGTGACCTTTCGCCGGAGTGACCTTTGGTGCGGGCGCAGAGGGGTCCCCAGATGGTGAAAACGAAGCGGTAGAAGCGGCTTGCGAGCCCAGGTTTGGTCTCCCCGCGGCCCCCCAAAAGCCGCGCACCAAAGGTCACTCTTACCCAGGGTCACTCTTGCGTGTAGCCGATAATACTATGTATGCGTCGCCCACTCAGGGGCGACGCGCGCACCGAGAAGTCTTATAGTAATTATCTGCGTCGTGGCGGGCGCTTTCTGGCCACGCCGCTCGGGGAACGATGTACTGCGATGTACTACGAGGTGGGTACACTGCATGTTCGGGTTGGACGCGTGCCTCCGAAGAGGACGTGCAGTATCGGCATGTCTCTGTGCGTCCCACCCGGCGCCCCTCAAAGGAGCCTGGATGAGCACCAGATGTTCACGTTCTGGCCCAAGGGCGTGGACCACATCTTCGAGCCGGGGGAGGGCTGCCTCGCAGAGCTCGACCAGGCCGGGTTGGGCGGCGAGTGCTGGCAGGCCAGCACCATCTCGGTGCGGCTCGACGAGGCCACCGCGTGGCTGGTGGTGCTGGTGCTGCCCGCAGCCTCCTTCGCGCAGAAGTCATCCGAGGTGGCGAGGAATGCGACGCTCCAGGCTCTCGGGCGGGTGGCACCGAGGGGTGGCCTGAATTCAGAGGAGGAAAAGGTACCCATACCTTTACCCTCCCCTCGTTTTCCCCTTGTTGGGCGTCCTGGGCATTCCTCGTCGCCACCGCTGGATTCGCCTCGAAAGCCTGGTCAGAACGCACCCCAGGAGAGGTCCGGGGAGTAGCGGTATCGGTACCTTTTGGTGTCCCCATGACTGGGGTGGTGAAGAAAAGGGCCCTCAAGGGGCCCTAAGGGGGCCCCTTCTGTGCCCCTGCTGGCTCCAAGAGGGGCCCCACAGCGCCCGTTCAGGGCCCTTTCCTTCACCCCCCAACTTAGTTGCCTCGATGCGCGCGTTTTGAAACGCAACACGTCCAGTGTTCGAGACGTCCGTGTCAACACGTTGCGTGTTGGCTCCACGCACTGGACCACGTTTTGGCGGATGTATCGCGTCGGACCTACGTTTTCAGCCTACGTGTTGAGCTCCGCATCAGTACGATACGTGTTGCGTGTTGCGTATCGGGGCAGCCAAGCCCCCCAACGTAGGTCACCCTCCGTTGCAACCCGCCCGAGGTGCAGTGGATCGACAGACACTCCGCCGAGAAGGTCACCAGCGCCCGCCGCAAGTCCCTGTGCGTTGCCCTCGCGGTGCTGCTGCTCAGCGCTTGCCTGGGCACCTGCCTCGGCCTCCGCGTCTCGAGCCGCCTGGAGGAGCTGACCGACCTCACGCAGCGCCTCAGCAACCTCGACTTCACGCAGCCGAGCAAGCTGAAAGGTCCCAGACCCCCTCGCGCTGTGAGGCAAATCGCGACGGGAGGTCGTGTTCCTTACTCTCGGCCCTGGGGTCGTCAAAACGCGATTCAGGACGAAACATCAGCCCTGGGGAAGGGGTCCAGACCTCTGAGGGTCGACGCTTCGACCAAAACTCACGACGTCCGGGGTCTGGGGTTGGAAGCGGCCCTGGGGGTCTGCTGGGTGGGCCCGGAGAAATTCGGTCAAGAGGGGGGGGGGAAGCGAAGCCCAGTCCGCTCAAAACCTGTTCCTGGACCCTCGGGTCGAAACGGATTAGTTTTTCGAGCCGTGTCCAGCCGTGGGGACGAGAGGTCCCCTTTCTCCCCCCTCCTCCTCCTCCTCCTCTTCCTCCTCTTCCTCCTCCTCCTCCTCCTCCCCCTCCTCTTCCTCCTCCTCCTCCTCCTCCTCTTCATCTTCCTCCTCCTCCTCCTCCTCCTCCTGCTCCTCCTCCCCCGCCTTCTCCTCCTCCTCCTCCTCCTCCTCCTCCTCCTCATCCTCGTCCTCTTCCTCCTCCTCATCCCCCTCCTCCTCATCCTCGCCTGTCTTCTGCTGGCTGGAACCAGTTCCCGGCCCACTCAGCCCCCCAGCCGGCTCCACCTCAAAGTGTGCCTCATCAGCGACGTGATCAACTTGCAGCAGGCGTTCTGCAGCCTCACGCGTGGCATACAGGCCTTTGCTCGGTTCGTGCCGGAGCCTGTGGTGCTCAGCCTGGTGCACGGGCAGAACATCCAAATGGAGGAGCGCGAGGTTACGATCCTCAGCTCTGACATCGAGGACTTCACCAAGATATCCAGTTGCCTGAGGCGAACCCCGTCACCGTGCCAGCACAGCAGCGCAGGAGCGAGGAGGTGGAGTTCAAGATCCGCTCCATTTCAGCGTCCTGCATGAACTGGCGCGGGTCTACGCACCCTCTCCTTGTCCGCAACCTCTTTCTCCTCCTCTTCCTCATCATCCTTACTCCTCATCCTCCTGCTCCCCTCTCATCTCTCTCCCCGCTTGATCACACCTTAGAGGCTTCCTGAGAGCTGCTTTGGAGACTCTTGAGGGCTTCTTGAGGCCCTTCTGAAGGCCTCCCGGGGTCCCGTTGAGACCCGTCGGGGGTCTCGGGGCCGTTCTGGGCGCGATGGATCTACCAAGCTCTCTCGAAGAGGCTCCTGCGAATCATTTGGTGGCGTCTGGGAGGGTCTTTCGGCTGTCTTGGAGCCCTCTCGGAGCGGTTTTGGGCCGTCTTGAGGAGCCCTCGGGCAGTTCAGGGGCAATCTCGGGGCCTTCGTGGGGCCAACCTTGGTGCTTCTTGGGGTCTCTGAAGTTTCTCCGGCGCGATGCGAAACCGAAGGCACCCGGAAGCAACAACAGGTTCGTTGCTTCGGGGCGGGGTCGAGCTTGGAAAATTAAACAAAGATTCTCCAAGCAGCGCTAGCGCTTACATAGGGATTCCCAATCTGTCAGGAACTGGGCCTGCGTGGCGGCCTGAGGGCTCCGTGGTCGCCGTCGCCGCCCCGTCGCCGCCTCGTCGCCGCCAGTCGTCTGGGCCTGCGTGGCGAGCTGGCAGCACCGTGGTCACCGTCGCCGCCCCGTCGCCGCCTCGTCGCCGCCCGTCGTCTGGGCCTGCGCGCAGGTGTGGCAGCTCCGTTGTCGCCGTCGCCGCCCGCCGCCCAGATTGCATCACGCAGACTGCACCAAACAGCTTGCACTGCGTAGATTCTCTTTCCTACAAGAGTATTAGTTCCCCCCCCGGGGTTGACAGTACACCTTTTCGTATTGCAATTTGCATGTGATCCTGCCCCATCGTCCGTCCTAGGTATGAGTTCGTACCATCCCAACCCAAACGGAGTTCGCTCTTCCCCCCATCTTCCCCCCTTATGGTTTTTTGGAACAAATACTATGCGCGCGCACTCGTTGATAGAAAAGCACCTGTTTTCGAACATCCATAACAACAAATGGGACGAAGTGCGCACGCGCGCGTCTTGGCGCGCGCATGCATGCCAACATTCATTATCGTGAGGTTTCGCTATTGTTCAAAATCGAATATCAAACACATGGTTTGGCATCAACAATTTGCGGGAAAACATGGGAAAAACGTTGGCGCTCGCCTTCTTGCGAATTCTTAAGAAGACCATCGGTTGTTCAAGATTGTCAATCATTGCTTCCATACATGCCGAAATCCTTAAACAAAAGACGCTCGGTTTCGTAAGGGTTTCAAAATCGAGAGTTCCGGCAGCATATCAACACATCTAGTTTTTCAGCCTCCGTTTTCGCAGACATCCAGCGACATCCAGCGCTCGCGCTTTGGCGAATTCTTATGAAAACCATAGATGTATCAACATTTTCATCACATTCTGCCAAACGGGCGTCTCGCGCCGCATGTCGACATCATTCGAACGCCCTTGCGCGCGGGATGGGGGGCACGATCCGTGTCAAAATAATACCACGCGGGCCACTCTCGAGCGTCGGCCGCGCGCGCATGTCGAACTCCTTCCGCAACCTTCATCACCGACGCGAGGACGCCGTCATTGTCGCCGGCGTGATCAGCGTCGGTGCCGTCACTGGCCGTGCCGCCGCTGTTGTCATCATCGCCACCAGGGTCGCTACCATCATCATCGTGTCTACCGTTGTTGACGTTGCCATGATACCGCGCCCACCCAAGTGGTCGACTCGCACTGAAGTGCCCGCTGGGAAATTCCCAGCCGTCAGCGCCACCGCGGCAGGCCCGGTCGCGCCAAGTTAGCTAGCCGCTGCGCGCGTGAGAACGGTGAGGATGCGCGGGCAGCGGAGCTGACAACTACAACTTCGGCAGGGCGAACGTTCTTTTCTTGGAAGAGATCGGAGGTGACGGGGTGAGATCGAAGTGGAACGGAGAGCCCCCCTACCAGGAAATCGGTTTCGGTTTCGTGTTCGTGCGTGCTGTGCGTGCGGGCGAGGCGAAGCTGCGTGGGCGGGCGAGAAATGTCCCGCCTCTGACTGAGGCGCGGCTGGACCAAAAGCTTCCGTTCCAGCAAACGGTGCCCCGCGGTGTCCAGCCGGTGTCCCGTCGGTATCCCTATGATGATGATGACGATGTTGCTGATGATGCTGATGGCCATGGTGGTGATGATGCCGGTGTCCCGATGATGATGATGTTGATGATGATGCCGATGTTGCTGGTGATGATGGTGTCCCGATGATGATGACGATGGTGTTTATGATCCTCAGGATGTTGACGATGATGATATAATGAGATGATGATGATGATGAGAAAGATGATGATGGTACCCCGATGATGTCCATGATGGTGAGGTTGATGATGATGATGACGGTGATGATGATTGTGCCCCGATGATGATGTTGATGATGATGATGACGATGATGGTGTCCCGATGATGATGATGATGCGGATGGTGATGATGTGATGATGATGATTTTGATGTTGGTGGCCCGATGATGATGATGATGATGTTGATGTTGATGATAATTATGATGGTGTCCCGATGATGATGTTGATGGTGGTGATGATGATGTTTGTGATGATGATGGGGTGTCGAAGATGGTGATGTTGTTGATGATGATGTGGTTGATGATGATGATGGTGTCCCGATGATGATGATTATGATGATTTTTGCTCATGATGGTGATGATATGGTGATGATGGTGGTGGTGTTCCGATGATGATTATGATGGTGTCCCGATGACGATGAGGTTGATGAGGAGGATGGTCACGATGACGGTGTCCCGATGCTGGTGATGATCGTAGTGATGATGATGATGGCCATGGTGGTCATGATGACGGTGTCCCGATGATGATGCTGATGTTGAATATTATGATGCTGCTGATGATGTTAGTGTCCCGAAGATGATGATGTTAATGATTTTGATGATGTTGTTGATGACGATATGGTGAGATGATGTTGGTGAAGATGAGGATGATGGTGCCCCGATGATCATGATGATCAGGCTCATGATGATGATGTTGATGCTGGTGAGGGTGATGGTGATGATTCTGTCCCGGTGATTCGGTGGTTGATGATGATGATGATGACGATGATGGTTTTCGGTGATGATGATGCTGATGATGAGGTTGATGATGAGGTGATTATGCTTCAGATGATGGTGGCACGATGGTGATGGTGATGGTGCTGCTGTTGATGATGACGACGGTGTCCCGATGATGATGATGGTAGCGATGATGATGGTGTCCAGATGATGCTGATGTTGTTGATGATGAGGTGGCTAATGGTGATGATGGTGCCCCGATGATGATGATGTTGACGATGTTGTTGATGATGGGGGCGGCGAGATGATGATGATGGTAGTGTTCCGATGATGATGCTGATGATGCTGGTGTCCCGATGATTGTGATGTTGATGATGATGATGGTGACGATGGTGGTGTCCCGATGATGGTGACGGTGATGATGATGTTGATGATGATGATGGTGATGAGGTGATGGTGATGATGGTGTCCCGATGATGATGATGATTATGATGATGTTGATGACGTTGGTGACGATGATGCCGATGATGATGACGACGTTGATTGTGACATTTGTTGTCATATCGATAGTGATATCGATAGTGAGACCGAATGTAAGATACATTGTGATATCGATTATGAGATCGATTGTGAGATCAAAAACTCATATCGATTGTGAATTCGGTCGAATGAAATTGATCGAGTGATATCGATTGTGAGATCAATCGATTGAGATCGATCGAGCGAGACCGATAGCGATATCGGTAGTAGGATCCATAGCGATACCGATCGAGTGAGACGTTGGTTCTTCCTCCCCCGAACCTACTTTTCACCCGAAGGGTTGTCGCATAGGTTTAATTATAACTCCATCCCCCTCCTGGACTTATCGCTCGTTGGTTTCGCTGGCGAATTCAGATATATTCTCGACCCATCGTCCATTCTAGAAATGAAATCATGCCATCCCAGCCGGGCCGGCATCGAGCACTCCCGCCCTATCCTTTGCAACGGAACTATCACGCGCGCTCCCTTTCATCAGGAATCAGCAGATTTCGAGACTCCCTTGCAACAGATGGGACGAACTGCGCGCGCGCGTGTCGTCGCGCTCGCATGCCGAAATCATGAAATAACGCCAGTTCTCGCAATTGCTTGAAATCGAGAGTTCCGACAGCAAACAAGAAAACACATGGTTTTGCAACGAGAGCTGTCAATGCAAAGGACCATGCGCCCGCGCTCTTGCGAACTTCAAGAAACCATAGGTGTTTTCCAAAAGTTCCATCAATGCCCGTCCAAATTATCTTCTCGCGCGCGCGTGTCGAAATCGCTCGAAAGGCCCTGCGCGCGCGCTGTCGCAAGAATCCCTTGAAAAAGATAGGGGCGAAGTGCATGCGCGCGCGTCGTTGCGCGTGCATGCCGGAATCCTTCAAACACCTGTGGTTTCGTAAGGAGTTCAAAATCGAACGCCCTGCAAAGTGGACTAACACATGCGTTTGGGACATCAGTCTTTCAAAAATCTTGCGCTCGCGCTCATGCGCGTGGTTTGGGGGGGGGGGGCGATCCGCGTCGCGCAATGCCGCGCGGACCATTCGCGCGCGCCGGCTGCGCGCGCGCGCGTCGAACTCCTTCCATAACCTTCATCGCCGACGCAAGGACATCGTCATCGTTACCGGCGGGCGTGATCAACGTCGGCGCCGTTGTTGGCCTTGCGTCGTCATCGCCACCTGTCACCGTCGCTACTGCCATTATCGTGTCAACCGCTGTCGGCGTGCCATGATGCCGCGCCCGTCCAAGTCACCGACTCGCACTGAGGTGCCCGTTGGGAAGCGCCCGGCGGTCAGCGCCACCGCGGCCGCATCGGTCGCGCCAAACTAGCCGGCCGCTGCGCTCGCAAGCGCGCGCGGGCTGGCGCGGCCGCGGAGCTGCACCCGCAAACGCCAAGCACTCAGCGCAATCGCCGCCGCGTGGGTTTGGCAAACCAACTTGCGGGTGGGTGGGTGGGGCGTTTGCAAGAGCATGGAATGCGCCAGCGCATTTGGGAATCACAATGAGTATTAGAATCTACCCCCCCCGCCTTGGGTTAGCGGTCGCATTGCAAGTTGCGCGTGGTTTTGTCCTTTCGCCCAGCCAAGATATGAGCCCACGCCATCCCGACCCAACCCGAGTTTGCCTCCCCTTCAGCCTTTGCAAACAAATATTTTGGCGACGTACCCAACCTCTGCGCAATGCGGGGCAGGAGTAGCTTGGGAGATTTGGCGAGAATGCGGCGACGTGGCATGGACGTATATACTTCTGCGAGCGGCATTCGGAAGGTTCGCAGGTCCCCAATCAAGGGACACACGATGAGTAACTCACTAAGAAGGGCGCAAGATCCAAAAGGAGACGGTGGGCAAGGGGCTTGAAACTACGGCGGGGCAGCAACAACATGACATGGCCCCCCAAGGGCGGCGACGCCCCGCTCAGGTCTGCGCAGTGCCCCGCTCCGCTGAACCCACCAGAAGCCTTCGACAGTGGCGAACCCACCAGCAGCCCTCGAAAGGGGCGGCGGTTCCGCAGATCGCAGCCCCCCAGGGACGGCGAGGTCCCGCTCAGATCTGCGCGGTGCCTCACTCCGCTGGACCCACCAGCAGCCTTAGAAAATGGCGACAATTCTGCAGATTGCAGCCCCCCATGGACGGCGAGGTACCGCTCAGATCTGCGCGGTGTCTCACTCCGCAGGACCCGCCAGCAGCCGTCGAAAGCGGCGACAGTTGCGCAAATTGCAGCCCCCCCAGGGACGGCGAGCTCCCGCTCAGATTTGCGCGGTGCCTCAGTCCGCTGGACCCACCAGCAGCCGTCGAAAGCGGCGTGAGTTTTGCAGATCGCAGCCCCGCAGGGACGGCGAGGTCCCGCTCAGATCTGCGCGGTGCCTCACTCCGCTGGACACACCAGCAGCTTTCGAAAGTGGCGACAGTTTCGCGGATCGCAGCCCCCCCAGGGTCGGCGATGTCCCGCTCAGATCTGCGCGGTGCTTCACTCCGTTGGACCCGCCAGCAGCCCTCGAAAGTGGCGACGGTTTCGCAGATCGCAGCCCCCCAGCGACGGCGAAGAGAGGGCAGGAGGAGGGGGCGGGTGTCGGGGGGAGGAGAAGGACGCGCCAGTAGTGTTCTATTCAAAACGACTACCCAACCAAGGAGGGTTGGGAAACCACAAACTACATGTTCCGTTGGGCTTCAGAAAAAGTTTGCGCCCGCGCTCTTGCGAAGTCTGAGGAAAGCCATCGGTTTGTCAACATGTTCAGCACATGCGTCCAAATTGGCCTCTTGCGCGTGCGTGTCGACATCGCCGGAGCGCCCGCGCTTGCGCGCCGTCGCAAAAATTCCGTTGAACTAATGGCGAAGTTCACGCGCGCGCGCGTTGTCGCGCGCGCATGCCGCAATCCTTCAAAAACCTCGATTGTCGTGCGGATTCCAAAATCGAACGCCCCGAACGCATGCGTACACCGCGCGTCTTTGCAACGACAGATTTAAGAACAAAAATCCGGCGCTCGCGCTCTTGCGGCTTCTTAGGGGAACCGTCGGTTTTCCAGCAGTTTCACATTCTGCCAGGCGGGCCTCTCGCGCCGCATGTCGAACAAACCCGAGCGCCCTTGCGCGCTCGCTTGAGGAGGGGGGGGGGCGGTCCGTCAGATAATGCCGCGTTGGCCAATCGCGCGCGTCAGCCGCACGCGCGTCGAACTTCAAAGACCTTTCTCGCCGACGCGAGGGCGTCGTCGTCGTGGTCGGCGGGCGCGATCGACGCCGGCTCCGTCATTGGCCTTGCCGTCGTCGTCGCAACCATCGGCACCGTCGTTGCCTCGTAATCGCGCCCGCAGTTGTCGGCTCGTCGGCGTCGCCGCGGTGCTGCGCTCGCCCCAGTCACCGACTCGCGCCGATGTGCGCGCTGGGAAGCGCCCAGTGGTCAGCGACGCCGCGGCCGCGTCGGTCGCGCCAGACTAGCCGGCCGCTGCGCGCGCGAGTATGCGCGGGCCAGCGCGGCCGCAGAGATGCACCAGCCAGCGCCAAGCATTCGGCGCAATCGCCGCTGCGCGGGTTTTGCAAACCAAGTTGCGGGTCGGCGGGTGGGAGTATTGCGCAAGCAGTGGAGTCGATTATTCATTTAGAGTTAATGCCCCTCTCTTAAAAAAGAATGGACTCTACCCCCTCCGGAATTAACGATACACCTTTTCGTTGAGATGATTCTATCCCATCGTCTCTCTTAACTGAATTCGTATTCTCCCAGCCAAACCGGTATCACTTCCCCCTGCCATCCTCTGCAACAAATACAATGCGCGCGCTCTCGTTGATCGAAAATCGTTTCCAATAATCCCTTGCAACAAATGGGACGAAGTGCGCGCGCGCGCGTCGTCGCGCGCGCATGCCGAAATCTTTCAAACACCGTTGATGTTGGAAGGATTTCACAATCGAGTTTCCAAAAAAACATACAACAACACAGGGTTTCGCAACACTGATTTATTAAACAAACTTACGTGCGCTCTTGCGAAATCTTAAGAAAACCTTTTTTTCCCAAGATTTTCACAACATTATACCAAACGGGCTTCGCGCGCGCATGTCGAAATCTTTCGAACGCCCTTGCGCGCGTGGCGTCGCGAGAATCCTCTGCAAAAGAATGGGGCGAAAAGCGCGCGCGCGTCGTCGCGCGCGTATGCCGACATTCTTTAAAAACCATCGGTGTCGGAAGGATTGCAATATCGAGCGTCCAAAACACATACAACAACACAGGGTTTCGCAACACGGATTTTCAACAAATGCGTGTGCGCGCGCACTCTTGCGTCGTCGTCGTCGTCGTCGCCGTCCTTCTTCCTCCCTCGTCGTCGTCGTCGTCGTCGCCGTCGTCGTCCTTTGTCTCTCCTCGTCGTCGTCGTCGTCGTCGTCTTGGCGTCGTCGTTTCCGTCGTCGTTGTCGCCGTGGTCGTCCTTCCTCCCTCGTCATCATCGTCGGCGTTTCGTCGTTGTCCCTCCTATTTCGTCTCCGTCGTCGTCGTCGTCATCGTCGTCGTCGTCGGCGTCGTCGGCGTCGTCGAAGTCGTTGGAGACGTCGTCGGTGTCGTCGTAATCGTCGTCGGCGGCGTCGTCGTCGTTAACGCTGTCGTCGTCGGCGTCGGTGTCGTTGCCAAGGGCCATTCGGTGCCCACCGTCACGGTCTTGAGAGGTTTTGCAAACCAAGTTGCGGGCGGGTGGGTGGGATGTTTGCGCGAGCAGTTGAGCGGACAACTCATTGCGAACAGAAATCAATTCTCCTGTCTAAAAAGAAAATAGACTCTATCCCCCCGGCGTTATCCGCCCCCCTCTCGGGTATGTAAATCATAGATGATGATGACCACATGTCCATCCTAAATAATGAATTTGCATTATCCCAGGGGAACCGGTATCGACCCCCCTGAGTTCCCCTAGTAAAAAAAACGATACGCGGGGGCATTTCTTGTTCTAGCGAAGCACTTTTTTCATGAATCCCTTGCAAAAAATGGGACGAAGTGCGCGCGCGCGCGCCGTCGCGCGCGCGCATGCCGAAATCCTCCAAAAAACCTTCGGTGTCGGAAGGATGTCGCAATCGAGTTCCCCAAAAACATACAAAAACACATGGTTTCGCAACACTGATTTGCTAAAACAGCTTACGCGCGAGCTCTTGCGAAATCTTATGAACACCGTATGTTTTTCCAGATTTGGACAACATGATATCAAACGGGCTTTGCGCGCGCATGTCGAAATCAGTCGAACGCCCTTGCACGTGTGCCGTCGCGAGAACCCTTTGCAAAAATGGGACGGAGTGCAGACGCGCGCGTCGTCGCGCGCGTATGCCGAAAGCCTTCAAAGCCCATCGGTGTCGGAAGGATTCCAAAATCGTGTGTCCAAAAAACCTACAAAAACCCAAGGTTTCGCAACGCGGATGTTCAACAAAAGCGTGCGCGCGCGCTCTTGCGTCGTCGTCGTCGTCGTCGCCGTCCTTCCTCCTCCCGCGTCGTCGTCGTCGTCGCCTACGTCGTCCTCAGCCCTTGCGGCAGAGGAGCGCCCCCCTTGCCCTTGGCGCGGCGGCCGCGCGCCGCGATTTGGCATCTGCGTGTTCGTGGTACTGCACCTGGACTACCTGTTCCTCTGCTTGGGCCTGCGTGACTCGCAAGGGCAGCGCAGGCACGAGCCAATCTCTGTGAGCGTCGAGCTCTTTGGCCTCGTGGGCAAGCTCGGCGCGGTTGCATCGTGCATGTCATGGCGCGACGGGCCTTCGGCGGCCTCTGCGCCATGGAGGCTTCGGAAGAGGAGGACGCAGCCTTTGGCCAGCCAGGACTGGCAGGCTGCGTTCAGCGAGCGGGTGGTGGCGGCGGCGGTGACCGCGGCAGTCGCTGCAGTCACGCCCGGGCAGGCGCGCCCAGTGCAGGCGGCGCCCGCGCCCAAGCCGACGGCGGCTCCCCCGCGGCCCACCCAGGCGCCGCAGCCGCTGCTGGCCATCGAGGACGAAGCGGCGGTGGAGGCGTCGACCAGCAAGGCGGCCCCGCTCTCGCCGCCGCCAGGCCACTTCGGCCTCCGCAGGTGGCAGAGGGCGAAGGCCCCGCCGCCCGCCGTGGAGGCCGGGCCGCCGTCGCCCGCGCAGCCTGCGCCGCGGGGCCCGACGCCGCCCCCGCGGCGGCGCAGCCGCTCCAGGCGCAGGCGCCTGGCCGCTCCGGAGGGGCCCCGCGCGCGCCTGACGGAGGCGGCGCCCGAGGAGTGGCTGGGGGCGAACTCATCGGGCTCGGTCAGGGTCTCGCGGAGCCGCCGGCGCCGCAGGAGTCGCAGGCCCTCGCCGACGCCCTCGGAGCCGCCGCTGGAGGTCAGCTGAAGGTCGAGGGCCTTGTGGCGGACGAGCACCAGGTGGGGCGGCGGCGGGATTTGGCCCCGCGTCGTCACAGCCGCCCCCCCCGCGGCCAGGGCTTTCCGGAAGCCTGCAAGAACTTCAAGGACGGCTTTTACGAGAAGATGCTCGGTGGCCCGTCGTGCTACGCCATGGATATGGACGACGGCATCGAGGACTCGAGCGAGTTCGTGGCGGACGAGCTGCGCGACTGGCTCGAGGACATGGACCCGCTTCCTGTATTTGGATGTGTACGTGGCGCGCATGATGATGCAGATGGGCTGGGTCCTGATGGGGATGCGGATGCCTTTCGGAAGTTCCAGGAGGTGCTGCCCGAGGTGCCGCGGTTCCCCATGCTCGGCGGTGAGCTCCTCAAGGAGACGGACCTTGCCCTCCACGAGGTGTTCAAGGGCTCGGAGTCGGTCGCGGAGAGCAACCTCAGCCTCTCTGGAGCCGGCGGGGCCGCGAAGTCGCACGATTTGGACGTTGGCGAGGGCACCATCGTGATGGAGGTCAACAAGGTCAACCAGAAACTCGGCGAGAGCGTTTCACCGGATCCCTGGCAGCAGGTCCTCGTGGCCAACGCGCAGGTCTTCCTCAAGTCGGAGCAGGTGCAGGCCGCGCGGCAGCTTGCGACCTACAAGGAGTACGAGTTGCTTGGACGCTTCGGGGACATCCAGGTGGTCATCCAGCGGCCGTGCATCAACGACATGCTCTGGCGGCCTCACCGTGCGTCCATCTTGGAGACGCTGGAGGCGCTGGTCAGCGACTGCGGCCCCAGCATCCTGGAGGAGCTGCTGGAGGTCGACGATCTGTGATCGTGCAGGTCCAGCGGGACATCATGATCTGACAGGTTGGGGGGGGGAGGAGTGCTCCATGCAGGCCGCGGGCTTTGGGCCCTGTCCGCCCCCCCCCTCGCCCCCTCGTTTGCGGTGGCCTCGGGTGGCCCTGCTCGGGGGGGTTCGGCCACGCTTGGAGTGTTCCTCCTCCCTCGTGCGCCACTTCTGACAGTCTTCATTTCGGCGCGCGTCCGCGGGCGGCGCCGAGCGAGGGCGGGTCTGACCGCCTTCGAGCTCGTCTCCACGTCTCCACGCCTACGTCGTCCTCTGTCTTTCCTCGTGTTCGTCGTCGTGGTCGTTTCCGTCTTCGTCGTCGCCGTGGTCGTCCTTCCTCCTCCTCCCTCGTCGTCGTCGTCGTCCGTCGTCGGCGTCTCGCCGTCGTCCCCCCTATTTCGTCGCCGTCGTCGTCGTCGTCGTCGTCGGTGTCGTCGTCGTCTTCCCTCCTCCCTCGTCGTTGTCGTCGTCGGCGTCGCCGTCCTTCCTCCTTCTTCGTCGTTCGCGTGTTCGCCGTCCTCCCTCCTCCCTCGTCGTTGTCGTCGTTGTCGTCGTTGTCGCCGTCGTCGTCCTTCCTCCTCTCTCGTCGTCGTCTTCGTTGGCGACGTCATCGTCGTCTTCGTCGTCGTCGTCGTCGGTGTCGTCGTTGTCGTCGTCGTCGGCGTCGTCATCGTCGTCGTCGTTGTCGTCGTCGTTGTCGGCGTCGGCGTCGTCGTCGTCGTCGGTGTCGTCGTCGTCGTTGTCGTCGTCGTCGAAGTCGTTGGAGACGTCGTCGGTGTCGTCGTCGTTGTTGTCGGCGGCGTCGTCCTCGTCGTTGTCGCTGTCGTCGTCGGCGTCGCTGTCGTTGCCAATGGCCATTTAGTACCCACCGTCACGGTCTTAAGAGATTTTGCAAACCAAATTGCGGGTGGGTGGATGGGATGTTTGCGCGAGCAGTGGAGATGGTCAGGCGCGGTGCAGGGTAGCCAAATTCCATTACATAGATTGCACCACGTCGAGTGTACCAGATAGAATGCACCACGTCGCGCGTAGGTCACATCATAAGGATTGCATCGCGTCGATTGCGCCACGTGCATGTCGCAACACAAAATTAACTTTTATCTATTCTTTTTAATTGATTCTACCCCCCCGGATTGCCGGTGCCTTGCTGCACGTTGCAATTTGCATATGATTCTGCCCCATCGTCCATCCTAAATATGAATTCAAACCATCCCTGCCCGGCATCACCCCCCCCGCCATCCCCTGAAGAAAAATGTGCGCGCGCACTCGTTCATCACAAATCATCAGTTTAATATTCTCTTGCAATGAACGGGACGACGTGCGCACGCGCGCGTTGTCGCGCGCGCGCCGAAATCCTTCAAGATGTTTGGTGTCGCAAGGGGTTCAAAATTGAGTGTCCCGAAGACACGCACACACATATGTATATGTATGTATGTATGTATGTGTATATATATATATAGATCGAGAGAGAGAGAGAGAGAGAGAGAACAACAAAAAAAAACTGGTTTCGCAACGCGTTTTTCCCCAAAAACGCTTGCGCGCGTTCTTGCGAGTTCTTAAGAAACCATCGGTTTTGTCAACGTGGTCACAAAATACTGCAAGACGGGCTTTGCGCGCGCATGTCGAAATCGTTCGAACGCCCTCGCGCGCGCGTCGTCGCGAGATTCCTTTGCAACAAACGGGGCGATGTTCACGCGCGCGCGTCGTCGCGCGCGCGTGCCGAAATTTTTCTAACATTTAAAGTTTCGTAGCGATGCGGTTTCGCAACATCAGCCAACAAGAAAACATGCGCTCGCGCTCCTGCGAATTCTTGAGTCAACCTCCGGTTTTTCAATATTGTCATGGAATTCTGCCAAACAGGCATCTGGCGCCGCATGCCGAAATCATTCGCGCGCCCTTGCGCTGGGGTGGGGGTGGGGGTGGGGGGCCCGATCTGTGTCACATAATACCATGCGAGCCTCTCTCGCGCGTCGGCCGCGCGCGCGCGTCGAGCTGTTCCCAAAACCTTCACCGCCGACGCGAGGACGCCGTCATCGTCGTCGGCGTGACCAGCATCGGCGCCCGCATTGGCTGCGCCGTCGTCTTTGTCAACGTCACCGCCAGCATCGCTGCTATCGTCGCCGCGTCTACCTTCGTCGACGTTGCCATGATACCGCACCCGCCCAAGTCGCCGACTCTCACTGCAGTGCCCGCTGGGATGTGCCCGGCGGTCAGCGCCATCGCGGCCGCGTCGGTCGCGCCAAACTAGCTGGCCGCCGTGCGCGCGTGCTTGGGGTGGGTCGGCCGCAGAGATGCACCAGCCAACGCCAAGTTTCCATCGCAATCGCCGCCGCGTGCGCTTTGCAAACCAAGCTTCGGGTGGGTGGGTGGGACGTTTGCAAGAGCATGTGGTGTGTCAACTCGTGTGTGAGAATGAGTGTGGCACCGTAAACTATACCACTGATCTATTTTCCTTTCTAAAAGCAGAATCGGAACTACCCCCCCGGCGTTATCGGTCCCCCTTTTCGGGTATGTAAATCATATATGATTCTGACCACATGTCCATCCTAAGTATGAATTTGCACGGTCCCCGGGGGGGCCAGTATCCCCCCCTGAGGGTCCCTTGTAAACAAATAGTACGGCAAAGCAACCTAACAGCGATGTGTATAAGCATATCTGGAAGCATTCCCCTTAAGATTCAGGTGAGAATCCAGTTGTAGAATTCTGCTGTTCTCGCAGTCGCAGTCGCATTCGCAATGACAGTCGCAGTGGCAACTGCCTTAGGATCCAATGGAGCCCTAAGGATTCCTAGGGATTCCTAAGGCATCCTCAGGTATCCTTAGGAATCCATAGGAATCCTTAGGAAACCTTGGGAATCCTTCGGAATCCAGATTCCTAGGGATTCCTAGGGATTCCTAAGGATGCCTAAGGAACCCTAAGGAACCCTAAGGATTCCAAAGGATTCGCCTGCCTCGGCTTCAGCCTCAGCCTGCCTCAGCCTCAGCTTGCCTCAGCCTTAGTCTCAGCCTGTCTCAGCCTCAGCCTGCCTCAGCATCAGCTTTAGCCTCAGCCTCAGCCTGCCTCGGCTTGCCTCGGCCTCAGCCTCAGCTTCGGCCTCAGCCTCAGCCTCAGCCTCAGCCTCAGCCTGCATCAGCCTCAGCCTGCATCAGCCTCAGCCTCAGCATGCCTCAGCCTCAGCCTCAGCCTGCCTCAGCCTCAGCCTCAGCCTCAGCCTCAGCCTCAGCCTGCCTCAGCTTCAGCCTCAGCCTCAGCTTGCCTCGGCTTGCCTCAGCCTCAGCCTCAGCCTGCCTCGGCCACAGCCTCAGCCTCAGCCTGCCTCAGCCTCAGCGTCAGCCTCTCAGCCTCAGCCTGCATCGGCCTCAGCCTCAGCCTCAGCCTGCGTCAGCCTCAGCCTCAGCCTGCCTCAGCCTCAGCCTGCATCAGCCTCAGCCTCAGCCTGCCTCAGCCGCAGCTTGCCTCAGCCTCAGCCACAGCCTCAGCCTCAGCCTCAGCCTGCCTCAGCTTCAGCCTTAGCCTCAGCCTGCTTCGGTTTGCCTCAGCCTCAGCCTCAGCCTCAGCCTCGGCCTCAGCCTCAGCCTCAGCCTGCCTCAGCCTCAGCGTCAGCCTCTCAGCCTCAGCCTGCATCAGCCTCAGCCTGCCTCGGCCTCCTGGGCCTGCCTCGGCCTCAGCCTCAGCCTGTCTCAGCCTCAGCCTCAGCCTGTCTTAGCCTCAGCCTGCCTCAGCATCAGCTTCAGCCTCAGCCTCAGCCTGCCTCGGCTTGCCTCGGCCTCAGCCTCAGCGTGCCTCGGCCTCAGCCTCAGCCTCAGCCTGCCTCAGCCTCAGCCTCAGCGTGCCTCAGCCTCAGCCTGCGTCAGCCTCAGCCTCAGCCTGCCTCAGCCGCAGTTTGCCTCAGCCTCAGCCTCAGCCTCAGCCTCAGCGTGCCTCAGCTTCAGCCTCAGCCTCAGCCTGCCTTGGCTTGCCTCAGCCTCAGCCTCAGCCTTCCTCGGCCTCAGCCTCAGCCTCAGCCTGCCTCAGCCTCAGCGTCAGCCTATCAGCCTCAGCCTGCATCAGCCTCAGCCTCAGCCTCAGCCTGCCGCAGCCTCAGTCTCAGCCTGCCTCAGCCTCAGCCTGCCTCAGCCTCAGCGTCAGCCTGCATGAGCCTCATCCTGCGTCAGCCTCAGCCTCAGCCTGCCTCAGCCTCAGCCTGCCTCAGCCTCAGCCTCAGCCTGCCTTGGCGTGCCTCAGCCTCAGCCTCAGCCTGCCTCGGCCTCAGCCTGCCTCGGCCTCAGCCTGCCTCAGCTCGGGCATTCAAAATATGGCACAGGACTGGTGTTCTGGGAACACGAAGATCACGAACTGGCCCAGAGTTGGCTCCAAGCAATCAAAATATGGTACAGGACTGGTGTTCTGGGAACGCGAAGAACACGAAGTGGCCTACAGTTGGCTCTGGGCATTCGAAATGTGGCCTGGGAATGGTGTTCTGGGAACACGAAGAACACGAAGTGGCCTGCAGTTGGCTCCGGGCATTCAAAATGTGGCCTGGGAGTGGTGTTCTGGGAAGGCGAAGAACACGAAGTGGCCTACAGTTGGCTCCGGGCATTCAAAATGTGGCCTGGCAGTGGTGTTCTGGGAATGGATTCCTAAGAGTTCGCAAGGATTCCTAAAGATTCCTGGGTCTGTCCGGATGTGTCCGGATCCCGCCCAGACACCTCTGGGGCGTCAAGATGGTTTCTTGTGAGACCACTCGAAACCTATCAGCAAAAGCTGGTACGTAACACTATGCGGTGACATTTTTGCTCTAACATCGGACTTTTTCGCGAATCCCTTGCAAACAAATTGACGAAGTGCGCACGCGCGCGTCGTCGCGCGCGCATGCCGAAATCCTTCAAAAACCTTCGGTGCCGGAAGGATTTCGCAATCGAGTTGCCAAAAAAACGTGCAAAACACACATGGCTTCGTAACACTGATTTGCTACAAAAGCTTACGCGCGA